TCTTTATTGTACTGTTTTTTTACATTTCTTACAATATGTGATGTGTACTTTTATTTTTTATTGTAAGAGGGGGAGTACTGTAGGGACACATATGCCTACATGTACATGTACAGTTTAGTTGTAAGATGTTTATAAACAATTTGTTAGCGTCTGACGTCTGTAGAACAAAGACTTTTTAACTAGTCGCTAATATACGGAGTTACAGAGTGAACGTGTTTTCTTATTTAACCTTCTGATACCATAAATAGGGTCCGACACTTAATACCCTAAATTAACGATAATTAAAATTAAAACATCTCATAATTTAGTCATTCATTGCAATAAAATTAAATTAAATTCCATCAGATAAAATTATGTCAAAATACATATTCTTAATGAAAGAAGATTATATAAAAACAATAAGTAAAAATAAATTAAAATATGCTCGTCACATTTGTCTTCAAAAAATTATTTTATATTATAGTAACATTTGTTAATAAGATATGATTTTAATTTTGTATTAAATGGTGTTGGATTTTCTAATTTTTTTATGCGATTTGGTATATGATTATATATTTTATTTAACATTGAATGGGGGCTGGATGTAACTAAAAGCATTTTAAAGAAGGGTACTTTTAGCTCATTTAAATTTATATTGTTCCGTTTGTTGTTTATTTGGGGGGAATAGAATTCCGGATGCTTTCTGACAAATTTACACGCTTCAAGAATATAGGTAGATATTAGAGTTAGTATGTGATGTTTAACAAAGTATGTTCTACACGAGTCCATTTGGTCTATATTGGTAATAATTCTTATGCATTTCTTTTGCAGTACAAAGACCCAATCTATATCACAGGAGTTTTCCCATACTTTAATACCAAAGGAGAGTATCGAACGTTTGTACACATAATATGCTGCTAATGCTGTATGTCCGTAATTCGTTTAAGATGTTTAAGAGCATATATAAAAAAGGATAACTTACGTGATATTTTACCTATGTGTTGCTTCCAGTCTAAATTTCTGTCCACCTCCAGTCCCAACAGGGTAGCGGAATTTACAGTTTCTAATGTTGTATTATTAAAGTTATATGTTAAATGTAAAGCAGATTTTTTTAAGGTTTAAAGGACATCGCCTAAAATGGCCCCAATACCATTAAATATTAATACTTCAATAATAATGACTAATTTATTTATTAAATTGGAATCAAATATTTATTTGACACGGACAAGCTGCGATCCAAAATTAATATTTAAAAGTACTTTAACAGTAACATTTTTATTTGCAAATATTCACATTCAATATACTTAAATTCTATTGAGTCAGATGGATGTAATTTACACTTCAGATCAAGAAGATCATTTATTTTTATTTATCTAATTAACCTTTAAATCATCGAACACAAAAACATTAAATTAAATTGACCGAAAATAAACTTAAATTTCCTAAAAGCGCCATCTCTTGGTGATTTTCCAACTAAAACATAAGGACATAAAAACTGAATATTATACAAACTAAATTCATTAACTGTTGATAATTCACTCTTGTTTATTCAGAAAGATTGATATTCATACGACATATCCTAAAAACTACTATGTTTCTATTGCATTACCTTTATATTTCTCGTTAACATATTAACATCATGTCATTCATGTATTGAAGGCGCCATCTTTTGATGTAAACCATCAAAAAGCTATAGGTTTTTTTTTAATTTTAAGCTTATCAATAGGTATATTATTTAACTATTAGAATGATTTATTCGTCTATTGATTGACTTAGAAACTTTTACAAATCACAACGAAAAACCGACTTTCTTAAAGTTGAGTTTTTTTGCTTCGACAATATAGACATGAATATCATATCATGTACTTAGAGTGCCATCTCTTGGTGGTTTTCCAAACAAATTATAACCTCAAAATGAATTATATTTCGCGTGATATTAAGTTCTAAAACTCGGTCGCGGTATAATAAATACATAATGAGAATTAGTTAGTGACACACAATAAAATAAGTTATTTCCTATATTTTTTTGGCTTTGGGGCCACCAATGTATGGACGTTGAGCAATGTCATTTGAATAGTTTAAGTCTTGTTAAGATTGAGCAGCAATTTGTGGTTTTCTAATCAGTTTGTGATTTTATACAATGTTGATTCCAATATGTTGTCACATTCTAAGGCATCTGAACAAGGGATTAAAACTGAAATATCATCGGCAAAGAGCACACGTGTTTCATCGTTGAGAATATTTGGCAAGTTTTTAATATATATAAGAAAGAGAATACATCCCAGGATGCTACCCTGTGGAATGGATCCAGATACATGGATACTGTCGGACCTAGACTTAAAAAAAATCCAGTTAAAAGTCGGTATTTTCAATTTCCACGTATTGTAAGCGGCCATGGAGATATGATTTCAGCCACCTGTGAGCCATTCCTCTAATTCCTGTTTGATAAAGCTTATCCAGTAGAATTGTGTAACGAACTCTTTCGTAGTCTTTACTCATATCGAGCAAGAGCCCTAATGCATACCTTTTATTATTGATTTGCTCGATTATGTTTTTAATTGCCAATATAGAAGAATGGTTTTTCCTAAAACCATTTTGGTTTTCGTGTAAAATGTTGACTGTAAAGGTGTTCTGTCATTGCGGATACGAAAATTTTAGCAGATGTTGGTAAAAGAGCAATAGCTCTAAAATTGTTTATATCGGTAGTTACTCCTTTTTTATGGTTAGGTTTAATAATAGATACCTATTTTTAGAGCGTCCGGAAAAATCTTTTCAGAGAAAAATTGATTTACCAATGCAGTATATGGTGCAGTTAGTGAGTGAGGACAGTTTCTTATCAAGATGGGAGGTATTTCATCGATGCCGAAGGATTTTTTACATTTCAGGGTTTTTCATTATGTTCTTAATTTCTTTTTGTTCTACAGGTCTTAGATAAAATGAATTTTCAACTTGATTTTTTAAAGATGTTACAATGTAATCTTTGGAACCTGTGCATTCATTGCCAGTAGATGAAAAAAGGTGTTGAAACATTTGCTGTCGTCCTAGTGTCGGATATTAAATGTTTGTCCAACGTTTTCAGCTGATAATTTTTATTTACCCTTGTATTTTTATTGGTCACGTGGTTTATAATTTGCCACATAGATTTAGTTTTATTTTTTGAAATTTCAAATTTGCGTATATTACATTTTTTTAGATGTATTAAAGACTTTTTTCAATATTAAATTTTTAAAATAGTACTTCGACTTTTAGATATCAAAATATTTAAAATTCTTTTAAAATTGTCAATTAATGCAACTCATTTTTTTAGCTGGTAGTTTAACATGTTTGTTATTGTTTTAAGTAATTTGGCGCAATAAATGGTTGCCTTACATCATAACGTTAAGTACTAGTTATATTTGCCGACGATACTTCAGGGTAGCTCGGTGGCGTAGTGGATAAGCGCCGCGGCCCGCGATCGTTGTCGTTAAGCAACTTTCGCAAGGGTCGGTCAGGGGATAGGTGACCAAAAAATTATTATCTCGAGCTACTCCGTGCTTCGGAAGGCACGTAAAGCAGCCAGAAAATCTCTTAATTAAACGAGCCAACTTCATCGAGTTTGGTCTTCAGAGTCTGAAAATGATACTGGAAGGCGGCGTGGGTGGTAATTATATAACCCTTTTTTTACCAAACTTGACACTTGACAATGTTCTCCAGAACAGTGGAGAAAAGCTTAGAGAATATAATGTCTTCGCAACTCATTTCTTTCGTCCGTTTAAACGGTTTTGTCTGGACAGTGGATTATGTATGCTATGGTGTGGACAGACTCAAAAACACCTAATAACCGAGATCACAAAGTACACAATCTGTCAAATATATCTAACCTCATCGACTAACCTCATCTGAGACAGTGGATCACGTGGAAATGATGCAGCTGATGAACTGGCACGCAGAGGATCAGACGCAACACCAATGGGGCCCGAACCGATCATTCCTATACCTGTAAACTGCCTAATTGGTAGGATACGTGAAAACTACATCAACAGTATTGGCACACTTTGGAAATCTGCAAGCAGGAGAAACTTGCACTTCTCCAAGTGAACACTCGGCTCTCCAAAGCCCTTCTAAAGCTAAGTAAACCATTTTTGCACCTGGTAACAGAAGAAACACCCGCTCATGTCCTGCTGGAATGCAACGGAGTGGCCAACTACCAGGAAAAGCACCTTGGCTCGCCGGGTAACCTCCAGAAGGTCATCGCAGACGTTAAGGCGTTGGGAGCATTTCTGGCAGAGCTGGGCTGGCTGGAGTAACCAGCCACACGCAAAATAGGCGCAAATTTGACGGACAAAGTTGCGGCGACTCCCGTGGAAAGAAGAAGGAGAACCTCATCGCAGGCATCGGAGGCGGCAATAGGCCTGGTTCGACAAGTTTTTTCTACCAGGGCAAAACTTGATATTGCGTTTACACATTTTAACTTTGTCCTGCTTGCTGTCCATTTGGAGGCTCCCGGGACCGGAGGCCCAGTGCTGACCGCCCCTTCTTTAGTCCGAATAATTTTATTGAAGTATAAAAGTTAACAAGCATTAAAATCAACATTTATCACAAAAACAAATGATCTATTAACACAAAAAAAATCAAGAATGTTGGCGAGTAGGTAAATATTTTGATTTTCGTTTCCTTCCATCTTTCTATATACATTCATCATTTTTTATATTAGAATATTTATGTTATTTGAATGACATGATCATATAAATAATACCTACTATTTTCAAGAAACCCATGAAAATCGATCCCACCCATAATTGACAAAAGTTCAAGGATTCTATCGTTTATTTTCCTACCGTTGATGTGCTGACTAAGTAATAGTAAAATGCAAAGAGCGTCAGGTTCGTTAGCCTTAAAATTTAATGAAATTTACACTTCTTGTTTACCTGAACCGATAATGTCCCAACTCTTGCATATTTAACGAGTCGACTGGGCTCACAATTAATTTGGAACGTACCATTTAGTGAAAGAAACTTAAACGAACACCTTCTCCTGTAATGATGATTCCAGATCATTTGTTTGACGAAGGCATCAACAATTCGTTGTTGCAATCTGATATGAAACATGTTCAAGGTAATAAAATAGTCTACGAAAGAACGCAAAGAGATTACGTAAGTAAGATTTTACCATTTACGTTTTGTAGTCTGCATTATAAGATCTCGATTCTAATATTTAATTATTTGTCTGTGTGTCCGTTCGTCTTTTGTAGTAGATTTAAATCGAAATTTTTTAACCAATCAAATTGCCATTTTGTACACACTTGTAAATCAATGACCCGAAAATGGACGTAGGATGTAAATAAATTAATTTTAAACATAGTGGCCACTTTCGTTGTTAAAATATCTCTTTTGCGGGTCTTTTTTAGTCTAAATAACTTATAAATGGTCGTTATCCCTGAAACTTAACAGAGTTAAAGGAAAACTATAAGAAGTCCATAGTTTTTGAAATATAATATCTATTGGGAATCCACAATTTACACATGCGAAGCATACATATTTTTTACAGTAATTTCTATATATGTAAGTACTTCACCCACTATAACTCCGGACCATCTAGCCACCAAATCTCACCATTGGGGATCAGTACTCTAAATTCTCAACTGTCTAACTGTGTCCAAATGATAAAACTCCCGTATCATCCACCAGTAAGGCTTCCGCGTAACTATATGAACATTCTGTATCTATTATTTATTTTCTTTATTTATTCAAATGTACAAAACAGGTGACAACCGGGTGAAAATACAAATTAAAAGTATGTTTTACAGTTATCAAGGTTGCGACCCTTCACATGTATACATACTACAATCGCAAATGAAACAAAAACATGCATCTATATACTTAAATAACTATTACATTCTTTACAATTAAATTTTTTGATTAACATTGCTAAGCCACTAAATATTAATAAAAGAAAAAAAAGTAAAAATTACACCAATGCGTTAACAAGCTTTCTTTTAAAAGTTAATGTATCAGTTGAAAATATCAATATCCGATCCTATATATCGGTCTTCAAACGTTGGATAGACCAATCTGGATTGCTCTATCCATTCGTATAGACAATTTGGTACGTCCAATGCTTGGAAGTTACGTAGAAGGGCCGCGATTGTAAATTATCCTATTCCATCACTAATGATGAGTTGGGTCAAGCTATACATTTTTTAGTAAGAAAGAGATGTATAACACCCCCATTCTTCTTTACCAGCATTTTTTATACTCGCATTTTTTTTTTATTTGATAGGAACAAGAACAACGCGATCTTCTTTCATCTCAAGATGGTGACACTTGCGAGATCCATGACCAGTTCTATAGAGATCACAAATTATTACTGGTCCTCTTCAGAGCTCTCGCCGTCATGCCCATTACAAGATCTCGTCCAGGTTTGTCACATCATCGTCAGTCTATCAATATCTCCACTGCTGGGATCAGGACTTCACTATTATAGAATTTAGAGTAGCTCGGTGGCGTAGTGGATAAGCGCCGCGGCCCGCGATCGTAATCGTTAATCAACTTTCGCAAGGGTCGGTCACGGGATGGGTGACCAAAAATTATTATCTCGAGCTACTCCGTGCTTCGGAAGGCACGTTAAGCCGTTGGTCCCGGCTGCATTTGCAGTCGTTAATACCCTCCAATCCGCATTGGGCCAGCGTGGAGGGTCATGGCCCATCCTCCTTAACCATCCATAAGGAAGGCCTGAGCCCCTGCAGTGGGGACGTAAAAGGGCTGGTGATATGATATATTATAGAATTCAAATTGGAAAAACTAACCATAACCCACCCAGTAGACCCTGACTACATTGAAAGGGAGTTGTTTCGCGAAATCTAGCAAGTACTTTTTCGTCAAGTTAATGCATGGCCTTTTGGAACGTAGGAATGCCTAGAACCCCTAGGCATGCCTAGAAGATAACCAACTGATCATATTCGTTAAGTCATACTGTGAGAAGGAATTCTTTTGCACGTAACAAGTTTCGAGTGGTATCTTATTTGTATTTTTTCATGTAAATATCTACTACATTAATGAGAAAGAAAGTTCTAAATCGTAATCTCAAACAAAATATCTCAACATCAGGTTTCTCTTTCTTAGGTATGATCACATTCAGCTGGAAGTCCAGTGCTACCGCTTATGCGATTTGCTTTTATTTTGCTACTACACTCATAGTATTATACGTCGGATATGAGCGAATCATGATATTACAGTCAATCAAAAAATTTGACGACTACATCTATTCTATTATATTTGTTGTTTTCCTGGTGCCCCATTTCTGGATACCTTTTGTTGGCTGGGGAGTTGCTCCTCAAGTTGCCATTTATAAGACTAACTGGGGTAAATTTCAGGTGAGCTTATTGCTTATAATTTTGCTATGTAAATTTTTATCAGCTAAAAAAAACATTAAGGAATGTTTGTAGTAAAAAATATTGGGTGACACAAAAGTGCATGCATTGAGCTTATCTATGTGAAGACAAAACTTTTTGTACAAAACTTACCTCCGTAATGTAACTGATCGAATAATTATATTAATGAAAAGTAGTCCGTAACAATCTGTCCACGTGTCAGACAATCGTTGACCGAATTTCTAACAAAATTTACTAACAAAATAAACACCAAAATCCTTAAATTAGTAGTAACCTGAATATCAATGATTAGTAATGGACCAATAAATACCTCACCGACAGATAGTTTGAAATTTGGCTGTAAAACCCTTAGTAAAACATAATTTATTTATATCTGTGGTAAAACTAATCTTTCTTGCAGGTTCGTTACTACAGGGTAACTGGCGAAAACTTACAGTTTCCTAATTTGAAGACAATGATAGTCATAATAAGTATCGGCTGTCTGCTTCTTGCTATATGTTTTCTATTGAGTTTATGTGCGTTGCTGGACGGGTTTCCTTTGAAACATACTGCCGCCTACTTCCACATCATCACCATGATCAATATGAACTGCGCTCTGTGGTATATCAACTGCAAAGCTATTAAGATCGCATCTCAGAGTCTTTCAAAGTGCTTTCGCAGAGTAATGTTCTTTTCATGATTTGTTTATCTGATGTTAAATTATAGAAGGATCAGTTTTAATAAGACCTTTTTTTTGTTTGAAGGATGTAGAAATAGAATGTTCAGCTAAACTGATATCTAGGTACAGATATTTATGGTTAAATTTATCGGAACAGTTACAATTACTTGGCAACGCGTATGCTCGCACTTATTCTACGTATTGTTTATTTATGTAAGTATCTATCGAAAGTTAAAATGGTAAATATTATTTTAAACAATCATTAATATATTTTGATAAATTTTTTATTCACATAACTATACTGGAAAATATTCTTATTGAAAATGTTAAAAAAAGAAACATTTTATCCCAGGTAGTCTGAGATGGGGAGATCAAAAACAGAACTTGTCTTTAAAGTATGAGGCGAATTTTGTTAATATAAATAGAATACTCTGATAGCATTCAATAACTTCCAAAAAGATCCATTTTCAGGTTCACAAATATTACGATCGCTGTGTACGGAGCTTTAGCTGAGATAGTAGACCACGGGTTTGGATTCAGCTTTAAGGAGATGGGGTTGTTCGTAGATGCTGGTTACTGCTGCACACTGCTATTCATATTCGCGGATTGTTCGCACAAATCCACGAAAAAGGTGAAATTTAATCAATATATTAGCTAAAAAAAAGTCGGATTTGATTTTTTTTAATCGGGCCCGAAACTTCATAGTGATCCAATCTTTCCAGAACATGAAATAAATTATTAAAAAACTCATACACATGCTTATAGCATCACGCACGCACCGGCCGCACTACACGCAACGCTTAGCATGGATTTGTCGATGTCATAAATTCACTGCTGTCGCATTTTTAAAAGATGCTTCTATTAAAAATGCGACTGTCAGTTTTGACGCCGAAATTATGCTAATAGTTTTAAATAAATTTTCAATAGAATCCATTGCGTACCGTGCGGACGATTGGTGTGTGCTGACATATGAACCTTTTTTACATTATTATATTATTCTAGCGGAGCATTTTAGATTCAGGGCAGGCTATAAGGTGAAGCCGATAAAAAATCTTGCTGCACACAAAATCTACTTACTGTATAAAGATCTTACAAAGCTTTAAAATTAAACAATAATTAGTGTTCCTCTGTTTATGATAACCAGTATTATGGCGCCAAGATATGACCCAATTTCAGCAAAAGAGGCTACGTCATGACGTTAATTTTCAGACATCGGTAACTGTGTAGGGTAGATGTATCAGTCACGTACCAAATTTGATCAACAAGCAAATGATTATATGACAACTACGAGGGTCAAACTGAAAGTTCTTAGAAAATCAAAAACTGATTACATTAGCCAGTTATTAGTTTTATTATATCTTTTCAAAATATTGTCCATTCACGTCAATACACCGCTGCATGCGATGGAACCACTGGGAAAAGCACTTTGCCCACTCGTCCTTAGGGGTCTCTTCAATGGCATCGCGATACGCAGCCACCGCTTCTTCAGCATTCATAAACCGCTTTCCTTTAAGTTTTTCTTTAATTTTTGGAAATAAATAAAAATCACAAGGCGCGAGGTCGGGGCTATACGGCGGGTGACCCAGTAATTCAACGTTTGATGTCGCCAAATAGTCGATCGTTCGCTTGGCGGTGTGCGACGAGGCGTTGTCGTGGTGAAGGAGGATCCTACTGCGAGGTCGTTTCTCTCGAACTTTTTCCAAGACAAGTGGCAAACAATTGGTAGTGTACCATTCTGCAGAAACTGTTTTTTGATCCTCTAACACAATTGTTGCAAAATGACCTATCCTTCCAAAGAACGAGGCCACCATTTTTTTTCCCGCACTTCGATCTCTCTTCACTTTAGTTGGCAACTCCTCGAAAGGAAACACCCACTGAGCAGATTGTCTTTTGGTTTTAGGATCATAACAGTAAATCCAGCTTTCGTCACCTGTTAGTATGTCGAACACAGCATTTGAGTCACCTCCGTTAAATCTTTCAATCATTTTACGACACCAATCCACACGATGGAGTTTTTGAGCCTCAGTCAAATTATGAGGTATCCACCGGGCGCAAAGCTTCCTGACCGCTAAATGTTCGTGGAGGATTTTGTGCACTTGACTCATACCGATGCCTAAGCTTGTCCGAATCTGTTGATAGGTCACTCTTTTGTCAGTCTCTATCATACGCCGCACAACACAGATGTTATCTTCAGTCGTCGCCGTAGAAGGCCGTCCCTCACGTAAATCATCAGTGAGATTAGTGCGACCACGTTTAAACTCATTAAACCAGTTGTAAACAGTCGCACGAGATGGGGCTTCATCGTGAAAGGCCAATCGTAGTCTATCATAACTTTCTTGTTGACTTAAATGACATCGAAAGTCATAAAAAATCATTGCACGAAAATTTTCTCGTGTTAAATTCATGATGACGTGACACAGACAATTTTCAATTTGCCGCCAAATCGTAAAACAAATGACAAATGAATGAAATATATACTCAGTAATATTGGCAAAGAGTTATATTTTCAAATTTTAGAATTATTTTTTTATTATATTGTTTATAAGTAGCCAGTTCTAAGAACTTTCAGTTTGACTCTCGTACAAGGAAAAGTAAACAAATTTTAAACGTAAAAGTAACATAAGTCAAAATATTTCGTATCGTAAAAAAATTTATAAACGATTTCTACTGTATTTAAACAAGGACTACAATTATTTTAGTACTTGGATAGGTAAACCAGTGGTCGCCTAAAGCAAAAAGACAACGACGGGGGAGAAAACGTCAAATAGGGACGTGATAACTTAATTTGGTCGGATAATGGTTTAAACCTGGCACTAAAGTTAGTTCTCGTTTTATGATAAGAATAAGAGCTCGATGGCGCATTGGTTAGCGCGCTCGGTATGCGATATGGTTGTTAAGCAATTTTCGCATATGAACGGTCATAAGATGGGTGACCAAGAATTTATTACCTCCAACTCCTCCGTAGTTCGGAAGGCCCATTAAGCAATTGATCCCGAGTGCATATAGAGTCGTTAATACCCATGTATCCACATTGACCCATTCACCCTATTTGATTCCAATTATAGGGAAGGCCTGAGCTCATTGGGTCAGTGGGGACATTAGTGGGCTGGTGATGATGATGATAAAACACTTTATATTAGGGAAGCGGGGGCTAGTTGTAACAATTTGTGGTCACTTGGCTATAAAAGCTTACTTGTTTGATGTTTAGCATATCTAGGAGTATTTATTCCAATTAACAAGTATTCAATTATCGATTTCAAATAAAATTTTGAAAAAAAATCTGACGAATGTTACAACTTACCCCATGATGGGGCCTAGTTTTATATTTTAAAATGATTTATTTGGCATGAAAAACTTCAGACACGGTCACACAGGTTTAAACAATAAAGTTTCATTTTTACTCAAACTAAAAAAAAAATATTTAAAAAATTACAATAACATATTCATTCGTAAAATAAAAAGGGACTTTAGGTTCACAGCATTTATAATAACAAAATCTCAATTTCTGAAGTTTTTTGATTGACGGATATAAAATAATTTCAGGTAGCCGATGGAGTTCAAGAAACGCTTCTGAACATTGATATATTAGCCGTTGACAGACCGACGCAAAAAGAGGTATTTGAATAACCCCTCAAAATTATTTTCATTCCAAAGCAATTAAAAAATATAATAAATGAAAACTACCACGAGATTAATTTTAATAAGTTCTAAATGCTTTCTCCGTTAATTACGTGTTTCTATTAAATTTAATTGTATACCACAAAGCATTAAGTAAATAGCATTAGCTGGAAGAATGAAATCTCGAATATAATGTTTTGTTTGTAGATCGACCACTTCATTCAGGCTATTGAGATGAACCCAGCCGTGGTGAGTCTGAAAGGATATGCTGACGTCAACAGGGAGCTTTTGACATCTGTGCGTAGGAATTAATATTGTAAACTTCTATGAGAGTTCACAGACAATGAGCTATATTTCAAGCTAAAATTATTTTAAAATGACATAAACATTATTTGCAGCGTATACTTCTAAAATCATAAATCATCTCATAAATGTCACCGTCAAATTGTCAGCATGAGCAATTTATAATCTAACCTAACTAAACTTACGATAGTTAGATAGTTATAGTAATCTAATAAGGTTAATTATAAACCGGCGGTAATAGACAATTTTAATGTGATCTAATAAAACAACACAACGTCTATCGATAATTGAAAATTGTTCAATGAATTCAACAGTTTTGAGACCGTACAAATATTTTAATCGAAATAAAGTAATAATCATATCTAATTAACCTTATTAATAGATTCATTACACGTTTTAAAATCTTACAATCAGTTTTTAATGATTTTATCCTACTGAAAAACTTGTCTTTGTCTTACACAGTACGTTAGCATGAGCAAAGTATTGTTTACAATGAATTTTTATCTATAATGGACGAGGTTTTCAGAAGTTGAATGCGGAAACGGAAAGTGTTCAAATTAATATATAAGATTATCGGTGATTTGCACAAACGTCCATTAAGGCTTAATGACGGCTTTAAGCTCTAATGAATGTCAAATTTGTATCGGTAATGTCACTTTAAACTAAAGACAATTTTAATGCAGGTTTGTGCAACTGGCTGTATATTATTTAGATTTGTTCCAATTATAACAGGTATCGTTAATATATACTCATAAATCACCACTTACAATTCAAGTACTTAATGCATTACTCTATGCAGACATAGCCTACGTCACTATTTCCCATTTTTAGTATATTGGTCGTATCTAAATATCATTGATAAGTTCGTTGTACAATCTATCTGAAACTGTTATCGTAGTTTTTCTCCCTCGAGTACCTACATAGTGGCTACGCAACCATTCTGAATCAATCTCTACTAAAAGCTCTCCTTTTCTTATCAGAGCTATTGAATGGTTAATATTTTTTGCCATCGATAAGTGATACTGAAAATCCAAATGGATTAACGTTTTGTTATATAATTCCATGCCCGTATTAGTTATATTGAGCTTTTATTTTAATAAATTCAATACAAGTAAGTGTGCAACGTTCATAAAATATTATAATGAAGAACAAAAATAAATAAAAACAAAAGATGATAATGTTGATGTTTTTACAAATTAAACCATATCTCACTAAAAGCTACATAAAACACTATTTGATTTTACCCAAGACCATATTTTAACTGATAGGTTACCATAGACCATAGGTTAACTGACATACCTTTTTGAAATATATTGAGTGGCAAGATTTAAAATTTTAATTTTAAATGCCTAATAAAACTCATTAGTAACTCATTTTTTTCAGGCAATAAACATGATAGCTATTTACCTTATCGTGTTACTACAGTTCAAGATTTCTTTGCCGAAAGATCCTCTATCTGCTAACTCATAATAATAAATGATCAGAACTCAATAAGTAAAGTGAAGTAAACCTATTAAATAATATGTAGAACATAAACTAAAGACAATATATTTAAACGCTTTCCTTCCTTTATTTCACGAAGCATATAGAAGAAAGATGAACCAAGAAGTAATATTTTAAGAATAATGTAATTGAATTTACTTAATAAAATAATCAAAACTGTTTTAGTTATTTATTTCACTCCGAACTCGAGTAGTTAAAAGTAGAAATAAGTAATCTACCGATGCTTAGATGATTTTATGAAAATTATTTAGCATCTGGTTTGTGATTCCTCCATTATATTTTTTATCATGGGCAAACTTAATGATATGTGCATTATTGTTCTAATTACCTAATATTTTCCCGTCTTGAGTATGATGGTGTACAAGCCGATCATGTGGCAGTTACGAAATTATTCATTTATAGCCTTACCTAACTTATAATAAATACTCAATCATGTGCCACTAATAAATATAAATTTAGGGGATTAGCTACTTGTTAGAAAAATAAATTTTGAACAAAAATATATTCAGGTTAATGCACTTTTCTATATTATCTGAAGTCTGGGTGTTGAGGTACCTTCATTGTCTCTGATACCCCATAATACGAAACTTTTAGCTTTTTCATTTGTAGCCTTACCTAACTTATCATAAACACTCAATCATGTAGTCACTTATAAAAATAAATTTAGGGGATAATATCGTTCATAGAAAAATAAAGGTTGGTCGAAAATATATTCAGTTCAATGGACTTTTCTATATTATCTCAAGTCTGGGTGTTGCGGTACCTTCATTGTCTCAGATACTCCATAATACGAAAGCTTTAGCAAGCAAAGTATACGATCATTATCATCAGCCCTTTTACGTCCTCACTGCAGGAGCAAGAGGTGGTTAAGGAGGTGATATTGTCTTAAATTTTGTTTTTATATTATATTTATTATAAACTTTACTTGTGACAGATATTCCTCCGTCCGCACAATTGGCGTAAAATGATTGAATTCAAAGATTGCTTTACATATTTTAATTTTTATTACAACAATTTATAAAACTAAAAAACATACAAATATCAAATACTAGTCGACCAATCATACGTGGCTAATCAGTGTATATTATATATTGTTTTTTTTATTTTTTTTTTATTCAGGAACAAACAGTTACAACAAAACATATATGAGCAAAATAAACATAACAACATATAAACCTATAGTTCCATACATATGTACTTAACATTACGGATCTGTAAACGAAAACAAAACATATTTATTTAAGTGCATGTTTAAACAAATATGAAAAACATTCAGGCATATAGTAATTAATAAAGAGTGTTGCTATGCCACTATAACCTGGCGCAACTATACCTAAATGTTCCCCATTCGCACGCAGCTAGTGTCTCGAACAGTGTTTTATTTACAAGCTGCCACGGCATGCGTTAATGGGATAGGAAACAGTAATTAGATATACTATTATATTTAGATATTGATGCCAATTCTGTTTTGCCACTCTCTAAGCTTGTCCACGACATTTCTAATTTTAATTTAGGCTTTAATCCATCACTACTAAGCAGTGACTTGCGAAAAGGAAGTTTGGATATCTTTATATTTACATGAAAACAATAATTATTATCCTCCTTAAAATAATTATCTCTGGCATTTTAGCTGTTTACAGAATTAACCGATTTAACAACGCAATTTGACAGAAACAAAACCATATTAGTATAAACAAGTCTGTGTAAAACTAAAAGAAGCGAAAAAATCTATTATTTTTCTTTCAGGTCAGTTTAAAGTATTCTGTTTAATTCTTTTGTTTTATATTCTACTAAGTTATGTTTGAAAATATCAATATCAAACATTTGTGATAGAGTTTTAAAAAGTCTAGATGTCGATGGTATTAAAAGAGAGTATATATGCTTTAACGAAGGAGTTTATATGTTGAACTTTTAATAGGCAATATATATAGATAATTAGCAGTTCTAATTTCAGAGGCCCTTTGAAATCTAAGGATCTATTTTACACCCTTGTCGACCTCGTCATCGTGTTTGTAACTAATATTGCAGACCGCGTACGTTTCAGATGTCGGCCGGGCAGGGATATCACTCGAATATTGGATGTCTCAAGTGTCGCCCGCAATCACTCGTTATGTCGACATTCACAATGGCGATTCATTAATCAACTTTTCAATTTTCAATTTATCACTTTCATCAAAATTTTTGCCAATAATTTTCATTTTGATGGAAATTGAAATGGAGTTTTTAAAACAACTTTTTCTTGTGATTTTTAAATATTTCAAGGCTGCAACCGCATCTATTCTTATAATATATAACTAAATATATATTATAATTTAATACCATGCTAACGGTCAATATGATAATTATATTACCACAGGTCAAAAATCTACAGCGAGGTACAACTGAGAAGAATCCACAAGAAACCCTGCGGTAGTTGCTTTTATTGCATACAAAGAAGTCAAATTTAAAAAATGGCTATTAAACTCTGTCTAAAACTGTACTTTTATCGGTACATTTTTTTTAACTTTGACAATGAATTATTTTTGTATTCTCTTGCTTTGTATTACTTAGTTTGCTTTAATTTATGTTGCAGCCGCATTTGTATAATGAACAAATCATTTAAATTAATGCAATTAATTAGTATTAAGTTACTGCAAAGCTTGTATAAAAGTCGGTATAGAATCCTGACTGCGATTATTGCCGCTGCCCAATGTACCAATACAAAGGCACTGGGTGGAACTAGGTATAGGTTTAATTAAATGAACTATCCTCTCGTCTTTTTATTTATTTAGAAGAAAAAGTAACAGATACAATAATCCAAGCACTTAACTTTTAGCTACAACAATAGATTATTACGAGCATTACGTATCGTACTCGTATGTTGTAACTCACTCGTATCTACGTCATTGCTTGAGAAAATGACATAACTTAAGCCAATAATACAAGGCTGGCAGCGCGCTTGTGGCTCCTCTGGTGTTGCAGGTGTCCATGGGCGGCGGTAATCACTCACCATCTGGTGATCCGTCTGCCCGTCTGCCCCTATTCCATAAAAAAAAACCAATAGACGAGAATTTAAATGAAGCCAGAACTGTTAATAGCTAATAATAATACTATTCTAATTATTAACTGAACTGCTATTCTATAAAAATCCAAACCCGAATTCGACTCCACTCAGCGTGTCCAAATTTACTTCAAAAAGCGGCATCCACTCAACCTTGAATTGGTAATAATGTTTCGTGCATTAAGTGAAGTTTCGAAATATTCAATACGTATACGTATATTCAATCAATTTTGTTTTGTATTTTTATACAAAAAATGGAATAAATTCTATTTTATCTACTAAATTACATGAATTCGGACACATGAGCATATTCGAATTTGGATATTCATTTTTACAGAATAGTCGGGCTTTTTTTACTTCATTGAAATTCTTGTTCATTTGGTAAAAATCCCTGCTTATATTATGAAATTAATATAGATAAATATACTCATATTCGTCCCTCAAAGGCCGGTAGCGCGCTTTAGCC